TGGTAAAAATCCTGCATCACCCGACTTCTATCAGCGTTTTGGATGAGGCGCAGCTCAGTTGGCTTAGTACTTTCTGAGCACGTGGTTTTGGATACTATGGAAGCCTGAACAGTGACAAGCATTATTCCATAGGGTTCCTCATTGTGACTGTACTATACAGGAGCCCAAAACAAGCCGGTGCCCAATCCTCTTTAATTCTGGAAGATCCCTGCAACTATTTGGTGGTTCATTAGTACGACTTGAGGCGTAGTGCGAACCCTGAGGCCCAAGGGACTTAGTAAGTAGNNAACCCTACTTATAACCGACTCACTAAGTCCCCTTAGGCCTCCCAGTAAGGGCCTTCATATTCGGATCCCTGTTCAACTCGAAACCCAGGAAGCACTTTGCCTTCCACGACTATCAAGCCGCCGGCGTGAGGAGACTTTGTCTGGCATCAGTAAAGCTTCAGCTGCGTTTCGCTGCTTTTTGCAGCGCCCTCAGGAGTGCTCAGTAAGTAGTTGGAAAAGGTAAGGCATCCGGCATGACCCCATCTTATCCCAGATGTCACCGCCTACTATAGGGGCCTCAACAATTACCTGCATTTGTTTGAGGGTTCCTTATTGTAACTATGCTTTTAATATTTTAAGGACCCCAAAACCGTATTCTAATTGTTAAGGCCCCTAAACCCCTAAACCCTTATAGTAGCTTTAATGAACCCTTTAAAGGGAACCCCAAAGGAACCCTATTCTAATTATTAAGGCCCCTACATTACTTGCTAAGTCCCTTGGGGCCCAGGATGCAAGTAAAGAAGCTCTGCAAGGCACTTCTCCAAGCTCAAAACCCTGAATTCCTTAGATCAACACCCCTAAGGGTCCATGTACCCAAATAGTATATACTTTGGCCTTAAAGTAGTCCCTATATAGGTACTCTGGGGCCAATGTATATACTATATGAGTACATAGACCCTTAGGGCACCGCCAGGCTTTAAGATCCGAAAAAAAGCCCACACCCTAATCCCTAAAGACCCTCTAGCTCATATCCCCTTTTACTTCCCTCGCCCACGAGTAGTCTAGGGGTCTTCATAAGTAGAAGAGGGCTCGGATATGATACCATAATTATAATAAGGAACCCCAAAAGCCATTCTACTTATTAAGGCCCCTACAGTACCCCAACAAGGCAGGCCCCTAAACCCTCAACCCTAAACCCCCACAACCCTATTGAAATTATGAAGGCCCCTACAGTACCCCGACAAGGCAGGCGATTGCGGAGTTCGAAGAGCTGGGAGCGCTGGTGAACTGCCAGGCCATCGGCTGAGCCACCCCAGGAGTTTCCGAAGCCAAACCCAGGGGTTAGGGTTTAGGGTTTAG